AGTAACATAGAGAGGATCAAGGTTGTTAAAATCGCGATTCAAATCGTAAAATCGTACGATTTTACGATTCAAATTCAACTAATCGATTCAAATCGCATGAAAAATCGAATTTAAACAAAATCGTATGAAATCATAATAAACTCATCAAAAATCGCATTGAATCGCGATTCTAATACGCTTTTACGATTTATTATTCAAAAGCTCAGGCCGAATACATCACGCCCAGAGCAAGCGAACTCCCGCACAACAGGACCAGGCCTTAGACTGATTGTTGCTGAAGCTATCCATGTGGAAGACCCGAATTTATAGGAGTTTTGAGAGTAGATATTTCCTTCTCCTTCCGGTGTGGGATAAGAAGATACATAGTACTCCGTATCAAAGAATTTAAAAGAGCAAGATCAAACAAAAGTGAAGGGCAAAAAAATCCTACAAAGCTCCTCAGCGGCTCCACTACACCAACTAACAACCAAATAAATTGAGTTTTTAAACGGCAAGCAAATAAATGGTTAGAATAGGATTTAATAATTGTGAAATATACTAGTTTCTCCAAAAAAAATGTGAAATATACTGGTATTACGTATTCCTTAGAGCTTATATACATAGAATTGTAAAACTAATTACCAAGTATAAACTTTTATTACTAACAAAAAACGTGAAACAAAAATTTATTGTGTAACTTAATTATTTTAAATTGTGGGTTTCCTTTAATCTAATATTGAAAATATATTTATTTTCATATTTTTGTGAAATCTTACGATTTACGATTCGATTTTACGATTCGATTTTTAAATCAATGTAACGATTCGATCCAAAAATATGATTTTAACAACCTTGGAGAGGATATCATTTCAGATTAACGTAAGTATGCTTGAAGAAATATGGAAGAAAAAAGGAAATAAAAATAAGAGACAATAAGGGTTGTGTTTTTTTTTTCATTGAAAATATGTATTAATACCACTAGTGTATCCTAGTTGTTAAGTACTTAAGTTCGATTATAGTGCTAGTGATATTTAGTCCTCTTTTGAAGAGATATTGTATTTTGAACACATTATATTGTTACTTTTTTCGGATGATATATACATTTACATTCTATCCCAAAAAAATTAGAAACAATTTCCTAAGTACTACTTCCTCCGTTAGTTTTTAGTTGCAACATTCCCATTTTCACGCTTGCCAACACACATCTGGTCGTCATTATATTTAATTCTCTATTAGTAAAAAAAAATTAAAAATCAGATTATGAAAATTTGTAATGAGACAAATTCAACAATAATTTTCAAAATTATAATTATCATGCATTTAAGATGTATTCAAAGTAGGGTGAGCGCGGTCCGGAACAGTCTGGTAAATTAGTAAAACGCGTAATGTATTCGTGAGGTTTCTTATGGTCCGGTATGGTCCGGTTCTAAGGATGGAACCATTCCGTACCATATCGTTTCAGAACGGTACAAAACGTCGATACCGTACAATGCCAAACACATGCTAAAAAAATTGAACAAATCTTGCAATTAATTGATATTGTCACACCAACTAATTCACGTGAAATGTTGATATAAATATAACAAATTGCATACGTAGTAATAAATGTAATATTTGATTTACTAAGTTCATGTGAAAATATAAAAAGAATATATCATCAAATTGATGAAAATAGTAGAAAAACACAACATTCTTTTTCTTTGTTCTAGGTTAATTATTGGGATAAGGGTCAGATAGGGCCTCGAACTTCGAAAAAAATGTCAAATAAGGCCATATTTAGGCTGCTATGTCCGGCTAACGCCATTTGGGGCGGTTCCCGGTGGAATTTTTTGATGAATTTTTTTGAGAATCTTATTCATCAAGTCTAGTTTAGTCATATCAAATTTGAACTACCAATTCAATCGGGAAGACATTCAAATGAATTCTTGAAGATAATTTGGCTTTTAACTGCACAGTTATCTTTAAGAATTCATTTGAATGTCTTCCCGATTGAAGTTTTAGTTCAAATTTGATATGAGTAAACTAGACTTAATGAATAAGATTCTCAAAAAATTTCATCAAAAAATTCCATCGGGAACCGCCCCAAATGGCGTCGGCCGGACAGAACATCCTAAATATGGCCTTATTTGACATTTTTTTTCAAGTTCGAGACCCTATCTGACCCTTATCCCTAAATTTTAAAATTTTTGAACGGTCCGGTCCAAAAGTTTTTCGGTTCTCAAAATCTAGGATCGGTCCCATACCCGTTTGAACAGTACGGTTTCGGTTCAGGATAAAATATTATAGAACTGTTTAAATACCTATTATTCGGTTCAGCACCATTACAGGATGGTTTGGTAACGGTTCAGTACTGGTTTTATGCCCACCCCTAATTCAAAGTATAGGATGCGAATAGTGTAAAATTTTCTTGTTGCAACTAAAAAGAAACAGATGATACATACATGGGCAAGTGACATATTTTTTTTTGGAAAAAGGTGGGCTATAAAGTTAGATAAATTCTATCTTCTTTTTTGTGGAAGAAGATGGCTTATGTTAAATAATCAGAACTTAGCCAAGTAACAAAAATACAAAAACTCCACTCCCAACTGCCAACTCTGGAACACTCATAGTCAATCACCTTCTAAGAAGCAATATTACTCGTTGATCCTATATATAATGCGCATAACTGAGGGAAAAGCAGTCAAAATAGACCTTCCAGCACCTGCTCCAAACTCCAAAGTCAGACAAAAGTAAAAGGCTAAAGGGTCAAATATGCCCTCGAACTAACTTAAAAAGTGCAATTAACCCCTTATATAGGAGGCTCTGTGCGGCCGTCACCAATTGGGGTGGTTCCTGGTGGGATTTTTTGATGCAATTTTTTGAGCATCTTCTTCATTAAGTCTAGTTTACCCATACCAAATGTTAGCTAAAAATTCAATCGGGAAGGAAGTCAAATTTTTGAAGATAACTGTGCAGTCAATACATTTCAAAAAATCATTTTACTGTTTTCCCGATCGAATTTTATCTGAACTTTGGTATGGATAAACTAGACTTAATTAAGAAGATGCTCAAAAACTTTCATCAAAAAATCCCACCAGAAACTGTCCCAATCGGCGACGACCGGATAGAGCCTCCTATGTAAGGGGTTAATTTCACTTTTTAAGTTAGTTCGAGGGTCTATTTGACCCGTTAGCCCTTTAAAGTAAAACACAACCAAAATAACATCCCGACCACTGCAAAAAAAAAAAAAGGAATCCAAAACTAGTAGAATTAAATTGCTTCCCCAGAATCACGAGAAGCTCGATCTTTCCTTCATGGAGTTAGAAACTCAATCGAGCCTGGTTACCAGCACCCGCCATCCAGATTCATACCATCGCTATTCTGATCTTCTTTCTCTTGCACCTCCAAGCATCTTCTCTTCTAGTCACTCGAATCATCCCACATGCTGGTTGTTCCTGCTTGTCTCTCCTTGCCTTCTCTAGTATCCGCCACGGTCACAATCTAGCCCTTTCCCACTCCTTCCGACAGTCCCGTTTGCCCCTCCACCTAATCCTGCATATACCATAACTTCTTTTTGCTAGTTCCTGTCGACGAAGTCCCCTCTTGAACTAGCCACTTGTTAACAACTATGGGTCAAAGTTTCCCACCTCCCCTTTCGGATAAATTCGATCTGTTTTTTACCGTTAAATCAACAAATATATTAAATCAACAAAACGTTCGTCACTTGGCTGGCAATACAATCAGAGAAAAATAGGAAACAAGATGATAAAAAGCCTTTTGTCTGTCGTCAACCCTTGGACCAGACTTAGAATCTATCACCTCAATAGAAGCAATAGAGTTCGTTGGTCTTGTTATGGGCATTGAGCCAATGACAGACAAACCAAACTTCTCATCACATGACCTAAATTCTAGAATCTTTCTGCTAGGAAATAAGAACACACCCAAAACAACATACAATTCAAAAGAAAAACACAAACAAAATAAAATGGAATGAAAACAAAATTGACTCATCTTCTTCTAAATCCTAGATTCTTACACTCCATGGCGGCGACTTGGGAGGGGGACGAACCCGCCGTTCATCCACATCAAATCATCAATAGTCATGCTTTTGTATTGGTTGACAATATCCTCCATTGAATCCCTTACTATTGAATCGAACCCAAGCTTCGCCACAATTTATGCGCATTTTCTTTCTCTACCCTCGCTCGTCAACAAGAGACAGCAGCATAAGACGTGCCACGACCGCGAATGCGCTGCATTCCTTATCATGAGCCTGCTTGCAAGACCAAAAAGTCCAAAACAACTTATAAATCTATCTTCTTGAAAAACAGATTTTGGTCATGTTTGGTAAATGGCTTATAAGCCATTTTTCAGCTTCTTTGACCAATTTTAGTTGATTTGACCAGCTGGATTGTTAAAATATGTGTTTGGTAAATAGCTGTTAGATTTAACTGATTGCTCCCCAAAAGCCATTTTCTAAAACGCTAGGAACCCCAGCGTTTTCCTTCGGCTGGTTGAATTATTACTATTACATACCTATCTAACCCTTTCAAGATTGAGGTCATGTTCTCTTTTAATTTATTTTCTTTTTAAATCTTTTCTTAATTTCATTCATGTCGCAGGGGCACATTGACGTATATTATATGCTGTATCATTTTTTAAAGACCCGGAATTTAGTTCATTTAAAAATCAAAACAATTTCTTCATTAAAAAATGACATACTTAAGAAATTACAATTATGCATGTTTTTTTTATTTATGTTAATTGTAATCAGATTATTATTATTATTATCACTAACAAAAAACTATGAAGCATATAATAATGCCCTTATACGTCTTTTTACATCATACCAGCTATTTTCATCCAGTTAAATTACCAAACAACTATTTACAAGTAGCCAATGTAACCAGCCATTCAAAGCAGCTAATTCAACCCGTTGTTATCGAACAACTAATACAACTAGCTAACGGCTAACTGCCTATTGCCAAACATGGCGTTTATATAGGAGTCATGTGCATATTATCCTAATGACTTCGCCGACACATAGAAGGTGGTCAGATTGGGGACACACCATTTCCCCCCTTCTGAGGATAGAGTAGCGCAGGTAATGGAAGTCTAATTACCAACGCATGATCACACTCCCAATTCGTCTCATGCAAACACGCCGTAATGGCGGCCACTTCAGCAGCACCGGATGTGAGTTCAGTTTCTGGCCTTCTTTCTCGTCTGGAATCGACCTCTAAGCCATTTCTCCATCACCAGAGCTCTTTGAGGCTTACGCTCAAACGATGCGGTCACATCTCCTTACGAGTTTCTCGCAACGGCGCCGAAAATTTATGCAGCGGCGCTTGTGGGGATAAACAGAAGACGATTGAGCCGATTGAATTGGAAAAACTCGTTGAAGATTATCCTTTCGCGTTCAATTCCAAGGACCCACCAAATCCACTTCCAAGTAATCTTTTGCTTTCTTGACTGAATTCACTGTTCAAACATGTCATATGCGTGTAGAGATATATTGGCTGTAAACTTTTAATGACTTAGGGTTTTTCGTAGGAGATTGATTTTGTTTTTTGAACTGTGGGAACCTCAGGACCTTTGACATCGGCTGATTTGTCAAATATGGCACCCCAAGGATCTCATCTTCGCGTGGCTTATCAGGTGTATGTCTATCTATTAATTGGATGATTGATTATTGACATTGTTCCTATTATGAAGTATGAACATTGCTTGCTTGCTTATTCAGGGGGTGAGAGGTGCCTATAGTGAATCAGCTGCAGAGAAGGCGTATCCAAATTGTGAAGCAGTACCTTGTGAACAATTTGATACTGCTTTTATGGTGAGATATGCTACCTTTCACTACTCACGGCCTTACTTGTGTAGTGTTATCAGGTTGCGATTTCATTTTCCCTTGGTATTAACAGGCTGTTGAAAGTTGGCTTGTTGATAGAGCAGTCCTGCCAATTGAAAATTCTCTAGGGGGAAGTATTCATAGGAATTATGACCTTTTGCTTCGACACCATTTGCATATAGTTGGAGAAGTCAAACTTGCCATAAAACACTGCTTACTAGCTAGTCCTGGTGTGGAAATCAAAGATCTAACAAGAGTTCTAAGCCATCCTCAGGCATGTCATAGGCTCACAGCACTGCTAGATTATTTTCTACTGCTTTATGTACATCTTATCTGACATGGTAGCTGGTGACTAGTCAGGCACTTGCCCAATGTGAGAACACTTTAACAGACCTTAGATTGGTCAGAGAAGCTGTTGATGATACTGCAGGGGCAGCAAAGGTATATTAATTTTTTACTAGTAATGCTGGTTCACTTTGTTCTGTAACATCCCGCTTGAGAACACGGTCTAAATGAAATGCTGTTTCCCTAAGGGAACATATTTTATGCTGTGTTCGGTGGGGGGGGGGGGGGGGTAGGGGGATAAAGGGGCCAGTCTGGTGCACATTGGTGTCCCCGCAAGGCAAGGTTACGGGGAAGGGTCCCACCACAAGGCTGTATAGGGGGAAGCCTTCCCTTATCATTTTGACAAGAGGTCACTCCCAAGACTTGAAACCGCGACACCTTGGTGCGTCAAGGCTTACCTTTTGGAGAATAGAGGGATAGAGAGACATAAATGTTGTATGGTTGGAATTTGAATGGAATAGACTGGAAAAATGAGGAAATATTTGAATTGATGTCCCATGATTGATTTAAAAGGAAAAAAAAAGTGCAGGTTTTTTGAGTAAAAAGTGCATTTGCTCCCTATTTCTGTCCAGTATTGGTCAAAATATTTCCATTCAATTCCCTACTATTTCACCTCCATTAACCTGCAACCGAACCGATGAATTGCATATACGACTGTTTGATCATCTTTTCCACCCTCTTCTTCTCCACCTTTCACTGTATTTCCAGTACTCCCAAAACATTCTTAGGCACTAGCATGGTTGCTAACTTGTTCTTACTTTCTTTCACATTTTCTGGTGCAGTATGTTGCTTCTCACAAACTGAAAGATGCTGGGGCTGTGGCTAGCCTCACTGCTGCAAGGATATATGGATTGGATGTACTTAAACACAATATACAGGTTGGTTTTAAAATGATGTTGTGAATGTAGTACTTTGGCCTTGCTTATGTTATGCCCTTAGTTACACTCTGCATTCTATTTTAGGATGATTCTGATAATGTTACTCGGTTCTTAATGCTGGCTAGAGAGCCCATAATTCCTGGCACCAATAAACCTTTTAAGGTTAGCTATCAGTTTACTGAAGAATAGCGAAAAACAAAAAAAAAAACAATACGTATGAGATTTTTTCTTCCCAATCTGTCTGAAAAGTACATTATCAATCTAAAGCATTTTACACTCTTCCAGACAAGTATAGTGTTTTCTCTTGACGAAGGCCCTGGTGTTCTTTTTAAGGCACTTGCTGTTTTTGCTATGAGGAATATCAACCTTACAAAGGTGAGTAGAATTTAAGGATTTTTAATTTTTTTTTATTTCTATAAAACTGACATGGATTTGTAGACATAAATCATAATAACTGCTGTCACTGATGTACTTTCTGTTTCAGATTGAAAGTCGTCCTTTGCACTCCTTGCAGAAGATGGGTTTGCAAACAATTGACAGTAACACTGATGGTTTTCCTAAGTACATCCATTGGCAACTTTCTTTTACTTTATAATTGCACATGCTACCATTGTAGGCTGTGAAGATAAACTAGATTATCAATTTATGGTTCAATGCTAATTTTTGCTGATATTCCTTTCAATGCTGATGCAGATATTTTCCCTATCTGTTTTATGTGGATTTCGAAGCATCCATGGCCGAGGAAAGGGCCCAAAATGCTTTAGGCAACCTAAAGGTTCTGCTATGTAAAAACCTCCTTTTATTTTAGTTGCACTTGAGTTTTGTTTTGAGACTAATAAAAGTACCTATCCCAGGAATTTGCTAAAGTTTTGAGAGTCCTGGGGAGTTATCCAGCAGATAATGGCATGCCTTGACATTTGAACCTGGTATGCCATGCTTTTATCATCTCTAGGGAGTTTTTGATGTATTCATAGATCTTTTGTGAAGTCGTATTTGTCTTTTTGAAAAATTATACAGAGGTTTTCCCTAAATATCACTAAAATGATGCCCACAGATAAGCATAACTAAATGGTCACTTTCAGCACCATCATAGTCGCTTTAGAAGCCCACTTAGCTTAAAACATTATCAGTTTAAAGGACTAATTTCTTAAATTGAAAAATACCTTCTCCAAAACCCTGATAGATAACACAACACACAGCATCAATGGATTCTTAGAAGAACTCAGTTATCCTTAGGGAATTACACTAAAAAATGATGAGAAAACCAACGTAAGGGAATCTTCCACCTCAAATTTCAGATCCTGTCTATGTTTATTTGCTTGCTGCCTCATTTGGTTTGAAGCAATGGACAAGGTTCTCTTCAGTTCTTCTAACATCACATTTCTTTCAGCTGTCAATTTAGTTACTTCTTCTACAGCAGTTAGGGTAATATGCCCTTTTATTAGAGTTGAAGGGTCTTGCCCATATAAAGCCTTTTAGAGTTTTAGGGTGTGTTCTTTATGCCTTTATGGAGACATGGTAATTGGTGTTATACCAGTACTCAGCCCATAGAAGCCATCTGCACCGTTGTTTAGGTTTTACTTCCAGTAGTACACTTTAAATATGTCTCTACACACCTGTTGAATAATTCGGACCATCTGTTTAGGATGGGCAATGTTGTACTTCAGTTTAGTGCCTGCTAGTTTAAACAACTCTGATCAAAAGGAAGTAAGAAAGAAAATATGATGCTTGCCTGGTGGTGCCTTAGTAATTTAGCGGAGGTGAGCTTATTTAAAGATGGATCCAGAGATACATTCCTCACGTAGTACTGAAGGTCTTATGAAGTAAAATTCTGCCCGATGGAAATTGAACTTGAATTGCCAGTAGCATCTCCCAGGAGACTTCCAACTCTTCTACTTGTCCTGTTGTGTTAATATTGATCTCGATGTTTGACTGACCATAATGTTAACTGATTCCTGTCATTAATAAGATTATTTTTAGTAAATAAAATTTACATATTCAAAAACTACATTAAAAGTTGTATTATACACCTGTTCAAGAAAAATTAAATTTGATAAAAGTTGAATATATAAAGTAAGAGATTAAGAACAATGCACGTTGACTGGAGAATAATGGACGAGAACTATTAAATGGGACGAAGGGAGTATATATTATACTCCCTCCGATTCAAAAACAAGTTCCACCTTTCCTTTTCGGGCAGTTCCAAAATTAAGTTCAACTTTCAAACCTTTCCTTATTTGGCAAATTATCTACATCAAAATAGTTCCAAACAGTGTTAAATTGTGCCAAACAGTGCGAAACAGTGCACTCCATAGTAAAGTCAAATTTCTTTTCTTAATGTGTGAAGTCAAATGTGGAACTTGTTTTTTAATCGGAGGGAGTATATAATAAATGTGTATAACACACACCAAGGCTCGCGAGTCATGAGCCTAAAATGAATAGGCTTGAATCGAGCTTGTTAAATATTCGAGTTGAAGCGAATTCGAGTCGAGCATGAATGTGACCGAACTCAAGTCGAGTTTTTTTCGAGCGATCCACAAGCGGCTCGTTAACGGCTTAGTGTATATACACCCCACCCAGGCAAAACCTGTAGGAATTAGGCAAAACCCTTTAGTTCCAAATTTTATCAACTGTTTAGTGTTTCAAAAATTAGAAAGGTGAGTAGATGTTCTTTACCAAATACCAACAGTGATTTAGTAACCCCATGCCCTCCCCCGTAAAGAACGGCAACGCCTGTGGACAAGAAACTGACCGATTACCATGCACGAATTCTCTTGCCATGTTTTGCAATGATATAAGAGATCTCTTGCTTTTTAGTTTCTACTTTTTAGTATGGTAATCGTGTTTAATACCTGTCTTGCAATGTGAATATTACAATGCAGGAAACTCTTGAACGATTCATGCTGTTTCCTCGAAGAAAAAAGCCAGTTTTTTGCACTTGAAACATTTGGCTGATTTGATCAGGGGAAATAAATATAAATTTTGAACTTCATCGAAAACAAAATCTAGTTAGTATATCATTTCTCGAGGTCTCTTATTTTTTATTTATTTTTGTTGCAAACTAGAAATCTACGGTAGTAGCCTGCTTCTTTTTCCTTTTAGCCGGTCAGTTCTTGTATTTTTGTTTTCTCGAATTGGACATAAAGATATTCATTTATTTATTTGTGCAGTTTTCATTTGAACTTCTCCTACAAAGAGACCGATGCATTGATACTTTGAATTAGGGAAAATACTTAAAATAGGACTAAAAACTTTCCTATGTTCCAAAATAGTACCAACATGTTTTTATTATCTAAATAGGAGTAATTGTAATGTTTTAGAAGTGTATTTTCGACAAGTCAATATTTTTCAAACTTGACAGTTATTACTTGTTACATATATCACGGGTCCGATATGAGGATGTGCTAGTATGTTTTGTAAATTGTAACTGCCTAGGGACTAAAATTTAATGAGAACGGTCCTGAAAAGACGTTGCCAACCTCCACCACCCAACCCTATGAAAAGTCATTTTAAATTTTATAGTGATATATGAAGAAGATATCCACAAAAAATGATTGATTCGAATTTTTATTTTATTCGATACTATCTCCGTCCCGTTGGATTTTGTCAAGTGCAAAGTAGGTGAGAAATAAGAAAAGTAAAAGTTATATGGTTTAAGTTTGTGTAGAGGAGAAAGAAATGAGTAGAATCACAAATTAGTTACTACTATTTGAATAGGAAAGCGACAATGTATTTTGGGACAAATGCATAAAAGGTGCAGATTTAAAAAGATATATTGTTGTTTTTAGAGTAGTCAGTATCAGATTCCACATACAACATGAAAGTAACTTTTTAAAATTTAATCAACTTTTTCTTCACAAAAATTATTCAGCTAAAAAGCTTTTGCCTTATTCAGGCTTACGCCTTTCAACTCCTTTGATGGTCAACGGCTTTTGCATGCTTTTTTACTACGTGGGGCATTTCCCCGAGTCTCACACTCTCACACCTAGAAGAACCCAGGCTCCGTCTTTTGCCGTCATTTGGAACATTGATCATACCCCTCTATCTAGACTAACATGCATTTACCAATCAGATATTCCTACTACTACTAATGCTCCGTAGTAATTACAATTAATCGTTCTAAATGTACACGTAGGGGACTTGTACACACTTATTTTAGATGTCATACAAATCATTTCGTATATTTTTTAAAATATAGTGATTTTTTGACGAATTGCCTAAAATGCTCGAGAAATGGGTTAATTAGCATTTCCAGCTTCGTAGCTGGAAGCTGAGTCTATATCGTCATCAATATTGTCACTCTTGTTCATGTGTATACATGTAACTAGGAGTTAGCGTGTGTACAAATGGCATGTATGCATATATTTGTCCAAGTTTCAACCTTCATCACCCTATCCATAGTTGGCGGATTCATCTTAGTTAGCATTTTCGAACTTCATGGCAAGGTTACGTTCTATATCGCCATCAATATTATCGCTCCTATAGTCTTATTCATGTGTATACATGCAATTAGGAGCTAGTGTGTTTACAAATAGAATGTATGAACATATTTTTATGAGTTTTTTCTCAAAAGGGGTAGTTTTAAATATTATTTCTCAATTTAGAATAATTTTCAACTTATTTCTCAAATAACAATGTTTTTTCATCTGCTCTGCCATGTCAGTATAGTGGTGCGTCACTTTCCACATCATTCACCGACCATTCCACATCATTTGATTTATGTGTACTAAAGCATGGATAAAAACTTGTTGGTAATGGGAGTTATCCCACAACCTAGTGTTCAACAAATGATCTTCACAACACTCTACCACTTTGTTCAGTTGTTATATGTTTTTTTAAAGAAAAGTTATACGAAGTATGTTTTTTTGAAAGAAAAGTTGTATGTTTTTCGTTACAAATATTTGAAATACAAAAGTATTACGCATTCAGGTGTAATACTTAAATAAATATATTATTCTTACTTAAATAGATATTACCTCCGTCCTAATTTGATGTTCTCAGTTCATATTCACTTGGTCAACATCATTCTTAATCTCTTACCTAATTAACTTTTTATATATCAAATTTTCATCAAATTTGATTCTGGTTTTTGCGATTTTGTAAAGGTTTTAATGTAGTTTCTGAATATGTAAAAAAATCTAAAAATAATTTGAGTGCGGATAAGGATCTGTTTGCTTTATCGTCGGTCAAGCACCGTAAAGCGCAACACTAACATCAACTGGGGACGGAGGGAGTATAAAACATGATGAAAAAATAATTCAAGATATTCAAATAAAAAATAAAAACCTAATTAAAATATACTAAAAACATAATTTAAGATATCAAATTAAAATAATTCAAAAAAAATACAAAATAAATGAATGTCATGTTGCGCCCTATCCTACACCAAGATTTGTTTTTATATTATTATGTCAAAACACGTGTAAAAACACTACTCTGTTTTTGCAAGCATTCATTTGAGAGTGGTAAGCTCCCGAATCATATTAATCATACTCTTATTGTGCTTATCCCTAAAACTGAAACCCAGAGAGTATGAGTGACTGGAGACCCATTGCACTTTGTAACGTGCTTTATAATTTTTTTTCTAAAATGTTGGCTAATCGCATGAAACATATTCTTCACCTCTGCATTTCTGAACAACAAAGTGTCTTTATTCCGGATAGATATATTGTTCATAATATCATGCGAGCCTTTGAGTCTCAACATTTTTTGAAATGTAAACGGCAAGGGAAGGTTGGGTATATTGGGCTCAAATTGAATATGAGTAAGGCTTATGACCGGGTTGAATGGCCGTTTTTGGAAGGGATGATGACTTGTTTGGGCTTTGATGCGAAGTGGGCCGGATTGATTATGGAATGTGTGACATATGTCTCTTATTCTATTCCATTTGATGACGGGATGATAGATCTAGCTGCGCCGGGAAGGGGGTTACGTCAGGGGATCCTCTCTCCCCGTATCTTTTTCTGCAGGTGGCAGAAGGTCTTAGTGCATTATTTCGAAGATATGAGCAGATGGGCAGGTTGCATGGTGTTTCTATTGCTCGGGGGCTCCTATGATATCTCACTTATTTTTTGCAGATGATAGTTTGTTATTTTTCCGAGCTAATCATGATGAAGCTTCCCTGGTAAAAGAGTGTCTAGCTGATTATGAGGGTGCTTCTGGACAGGTAATCAATTATAATAAATCTAAGGTGTTCTTTAGCTCTAATGTGATGAATGATTACCAGGCGGGTCTTATTGATCTTTTGGGGGTTGGTCTGGTTGGAGAGGAGGAGAGATATTTGGGGTTACCGGCTCTAGTAGGGCGGAACCGGGAAAATATTTTAAACTATCTCAGACAAAGAGTTGTTAACCGCATTAATAACTGGAATAATAAATTTTTGTCAAAAGTGGGGAGGGAAGTTTTGTTAAAGGCGGTTATCCAGGCCATGCCTACTTATTCTATGAATGTTTTCCTTTTACCTGTTGACCTTTGTCGGGAGATTGAAACTTTGATGAATGCATATTGGTGCAAAGGTAAGACAGGTAAGGGAATTCATTGGAAGGATTGGGCGGCTCTGTGTGTTCCTAAAAAAGCTGGCGGTTTGGGCTTTAAGAGACTCAGAGACTTTAATATTGCTATGCTGGCCAAGCAGGCCTGAAGACTTTTAACAAAGCCTGAATCACTAGTGGGGAGAGTTTTTAAAGCTCGGTATTATCCCAAGGGGAGTTTCCTAATTGCAAAATCGGGGAATAACCCGTCTTTTATTTGGCGAAGCCTTATTCATACACAAGAGTATTTGGGAGGAGCTTTGGCTCCCGGACAGGGAAAATCCTCGTGTTATCTCATAAAAGTATGAGGAATTAGAGGGGGCAGTGGTGACTAATCTTTTCTGTACCGATCAGAGAGAGTGGGATAGAGATATCATTAATGACATTTTTGTGGAGAGAGATGCAGTTCTTATAAGGGGTATTCCTTTGAGGAGATCACAAATCGCGGACTCGATTTGCTGGAGGTGGGAGGAATGTGGCTAGTTCTCCGTTAGGAGTTGCTACAGATGGATAAGGGGGGAGCTGGGTAACCAACCAGGGATGCTATGGATGGCTATGTGGAATTTCAATATTCCACCTAAAATTAAAATGTTTTTCTGGAAGGTATGTAGCGGTTGTCTTCCTTCGCGGCTTCATTTGTAGGTTCGAAGAGTGCCTTGCTCGGGACTATGCGGTCTTTGTGGAGTGGAGCATGAGACGCTCGAACATTTATTTAGGTTGTGTCTGGCTGCTACGAACTTCTGGGTAGCGATGCAATGGCAGTGGAGCTCGTCGGGGGATTTGGCTTTTTTTGGAGCAGCTTAATGAGGAATTTAAAAGGAGGAAGACGATGGACTTCGTGCAATTGATTTGGGGCTGCTGGTCGTTATGGACAAGAGAGGAACTAGAGAGTGTGGAAAGGAATGACATTTTCGGCGGAGCAAGCAGTTTACCGAGGCCGGGTGCTGGTCGAAGGATGGCAGCAAGCTCAACAGCAGGTTTCCAGGGGAAGGCGTTTGCCGGCCAGTTTGCAAGGAAGTGCTACCTGGAGCAGATCGGAGCAGGGTAGATGGAAGCTGAACGTGGACGCGACAATGAGGTCAGACCGATGCGGACTAGGATGGTGCTTGAGAAATTCAGAGGGTTAGTTTGTGGCAGGGGTTTCAAAATCATGGCCAGGAGTGCTAACAGTGTTGGGTGCTGAGCTTGTGAGCATCTGGGAAGCATTGAGCTGGTTGAAGGAGTTTGGAATCACCTCGGTAGAAATTGAATCTGATGCAGCTGGGGCGATAACGGAGATCCAAGGAGGTTCAAGCTACTCTTTGGTGGGACTTCTGAGAGACGACATTAAAGATTTAGCGGATTCATTTTCGTTCATTTCATTTTGTCATGTGAGGCGATCAGCGAATAAGCCAGCTCATCTGTTAGCTAGGGCGGCTTGTTCTTTGTCTGATTTGTAGTCGTGGGTTGATCTTCCTCCTGATTTCATTGTTTCGGCTTTGGCCAACGATTTGATTAATGTTTATTAAATATTTTCCTCTAAAAAAACACTACTCTGTGTCTAATGAAAATTCTTGATATTCTTTCAGTTCTGCTCAAACTTGACTCGCGCTCGCTTCAAATTTTTCTCATTAAGTTTTATAGGGTCGAGCTCGAATCATATGCTCGAACTTGAGCTAAAAACAACTTTCTATTTTCGAATATTTAGAGCATTCCTAAAAAAAAATAGAGCACATAAAAAGTAATCCAAAATACTCCCTCCGTATTTAAATGATCCCAACATTAGGTCTTGGCACAAGATTTAAGGGAAGAATAATAAAGCTAATGAATAGTATAGAAAAAGTATGAGAGAATGTGAAAAAGTATGAAAGAGAAGATAACTAAGCATTCTAGCGCAGTTGGTTGTGAGGCTACCGTGCCTAGTGAGAGGTCTCGAGTTCGAAATCCACTAGGCCCATAGGGGTTTGAAACTCAATGGAGTGAGTTTCAGCCCTGATTACTCCAGGCCCCCCAGACCCCCTCCCTCAGACCCCCTAAAGTAAAAAAAAAGTAGGAAAAGAGAAGATAAAAGGTAGAAAAAATAAGGGAAAAATAATAAAAATACCCCAAACTTTGAAGGGGTGTGAGATGAGCACCCCAAACTTGCATATGTAATTTAAATACCCCAAACTTTATATAACAAGTTATTTTTGCACCATGGTCATGTATTATTTCTTTCAAAAATGTAAAGTTATGGGGTTAATTGCATAAATTAAAATAGCAAATTAAAAGTGTTGCAATTATATAGATTGCGGGTAACATTATTTATTTCGCAATGGAAGTTTAGAATGTTGATTGTGTCTTCATGAATTCTAAAGTATTTTAAATTATGTAATTAACACCATAATTTACATTATTTGAAAAAAAATACTTGACTACGGTGCTAAAATAACTTCTATACAAAGCTTGGGGTATTTAAATTACATATGCAAGTTTGGGGTGCTCATCTCACACCCCTTCAAAGTTTGGGGTATTTTAATTATTTTTCCCAAAAAATAAAGGTAATTGAGTATTTTTAAAAGAAAAACGTATTAAAAGGGAAAGTGTAGCAAACTTTTAAATACATCCCAAATAAGAAAGTGTAAGAAACTTTTAAATACGGAGGGAGTAGAAAAATCATATTTTGTTTGAGTTCGAGTATCGTATTCGAGTTCAATCCTAGAGGTTTATGAGCGAAATCCGAATTGAGAACGAGTCCAACCTGAGCCGAACTAGGAAGTTGATCTGCAAGTTTTTAATATAAATTTACCCTTATATTGTTATTTTATTTATCTACTTTACACTCATTTTGTCTCTCACTACGTAGTACGTACACATAATCTGCTTTCCATAAATGCAAAATGGGAAAGTCAAAAATAAAAAATCCACATTTTTTAGTCTCAGACCAAACCAGATCAGACTTAAACGAGAATTTACCCAAAATAGGACTAAAAAGGTTTGAAAATTTCAAAATAGGACTGACATGTTTTTATTCCCAAAATAGGACTAATTACTGTCATGTTTTGGCAGTACCAGACTTCAAATATGGCAGTATTTTTCAAACTTGGCAGTAATTACTCCTATTTTGGGAATAAAAACATGGCAGTCCTATTTTGGAATTTTCAAACTGTTTTAGTCCTATTTCGGGAACTTTCCCGACTTAAACAGATCAGATCAGACTGGACTTAAAGAGACTAGATCAGATCAGACTTAGACATATCAAACCGGACCAAATTTGACTTTCGTAGTTATAAATATATAGAGACCAGACGTTCGTCAGATCGGATCAGTTCAGACTAGACTTATAGTCCAAGTAAAAACATCCAAAACCACAAAATCAGACTAGGAACTTTATTTAAAACACCAGTAAATATATTATTAAATGAACAAGTACATTGAAGAAGCGAAAGGACATCACGACATGAATTAGTGAATTATTGATCACGTACAATTTTTTATTCATTTGAAATTCATTTCAAAACATTGAAATTGAATGAATTAGTTGATTGAACTTTTCCAATTTTTTATTAAAGTGGCTGAATTTGTTGATTCGAATGATTTATTAAAAAAAATTAAAATATATTGTATTGATAAAGTAAAGAAAAATTTATAAAAAAATAAGTAAAATGATCTTCTACAATAATTTCAACCAATTCATTCAGAAAAGTAATTTCAACATTACTTATATTGAGTTTACATGACTTTTACCCAATTCTGTGCGTGCAATTGTTGAAGTCCCACACCGGAAAATTGTGGAGCAATAAAGTGCTATATTAAGATGTAGGCTGCTCCTCCTAACATGTTGACTTTTTTTTATTGTCTTAACAGCAATAAAAAAAGAAATTGAATGATAAGATTAATAAACAAAAAGAAGAATCACACCAAACGAGCTTAATTTACAACACTTCCAACTTGCTGAAACATTATTAGCTCATAATTTACAAGACTAACAACTTGCTGAAACATTATTGAAAAACATCTCCTAACAGTCTCAAGCTAGGAAGAATCAAAATCAAAACGACTAGTTGTTCGAGTCGGGGTGCGATAAGAATCTGGGCTAAGTGTGCCCGGCCCGACATCCTTGCGCTTTGTTTTCGATTGGACCGAAAATGAGACCAGCTCGGAAGCTGAGTTGACCAAAGTCCGGAGAATCCTGGCCTTGATATGTCCTCTTCGTGGTTGAATCGTCTGGTCGGACCGGCAGCTGCTCATGATCTGTACCATTTCCGGTTTTTGGCGGTGCTCTGTTCTGGCTTTTCAAGAGCAGGGGAAATATTTGGGCTTTTGGTTTGGTTTACTGACCAGTGGCAGAGCTTCACAGATTTATATGGTGAAGGGATAGGGTCATAGAGGGAAGAGTAATTAATTGCAATTTAAGAAGCTTGGGGTCCAAATTTCCCATTTTCCTCGACCTGACCTCATGGCTTGCGTATGAATAGTAATGCATCTTTCCGTTTTTGCCCCCCAAAACGCTTCTATCGTCTTTATCATGTACTCGTCACTCGGTACATTTTGTTTTCAAATAACCTTATAAAGGTGTGTATGATTTTTTTTTTCCAGTCTGGAATCCTAATAAGAGAAAATTTTATTTTTGAAAAATCCCATACCCAATGACGGAACCAGACTAATTTTTGAGGGGGCGATAAAATATGTCAAGATTGTGAGTCGAAACCAGAGAGCGTAAGGTAAGTCGGGTCAAAGTTATTAATAATTTACATACAAATTTTATAGTAACATAACTAAGATATTCTAATTTAGATTATGTATACATATAGAGTTTTTTCCTAAAATAATACTAATAAGAAAATATATGGACAATAATGTGACTATAAGTTACTATGTACTCCGCATAAGTTTTAGGAAAGATCGCACTTTTAGTCCCTGAAATGTCAGACTTATATTTCTGAGTTTGTAAATGTCACCTCTCAATTGTGCGAGAAATGTATTTTAAGGGGGTGAAATGTACAATATGGGCGAGAAATACATTTCACCCTTGAAGGACCACATTTACAGCAATTTGGACAATTGAGAGATGACATTTACAAACTCAGAAATAAAGGTTTGACATTTCAATATGCTGACTATTTCAGGGACTAAAAATGCGATTTTCCCTAAGTTTTATACGGAGTAATAACTATTATTTAACATTTGAACAGAATTATAGTAACTAAAGTTATTAATCACATTTTTATTCACTACTTTTTATTTTAATTTTATATTTGGAATTATTTCGTACTTAGTTTATGTTATTGTACATATGTATTAGTACTGTACTACATTAAGTACATATTAACAAATTGCGTTTATTTATTTGAATTAAGTTAAAACTTAAAAGGGTGTAGTTTGATCATTATTAGTTAACAACTACTCCATGAGTCCAACTATATAACCAATAACTAATCATCAATAAATAATAATTAGAAATTACACCATTCATTATGCCATAGATGAATTAAGTTAAAAAAAATCAAACCAGGAGGATTAGTCTCCATTCACCAATAGTCCAAATTAGGTCAAACACCAAACAAGAAAACAATTAAAACGCCAAACACGAAAACAATTAAATGAAAAAAATTGATAAATTAAATAATTAAGTACGTAGTAAGATTTAGTGAAGGTGAAATTTTGGAAGGGTGCAACCAATGTTCTAAAATGCGTTAAGCGCTACTCGGGCGCCAGCCCAGCGCCTAGCGCCTAGACGCCTAGGCGGACGCCTAGTCAGGGACTAGTTGGAGACATATGAATTACATTTTTATCTATATTATTGCATAAATATGATAAGTAATATTGTATTCTTGTGTGTATAAAATACATTTAAAAGAAAAAAGGAAATAGGATACTTATTTTGAAACAACTCAAAAGAAAAAGTAAGACAACTAAAATGGGAGATATGGAGTATTTATTATTATACTAAAAGTTAAATTTGTAGCAAAATAAAAGACTACTGGAATGTGAATACTCATTTTAAAACAATGTTCACGACTTCATTAATTATTTCATCATCTAAATTAGGCCACTAAAATTAGTAATTCATTGAGATTTTGATTGTGGTAACACAATTTCAATACTAAGTGCAGAGTATGCTATAGTCTTGATGCCCTTTGCGGCAGAATGTCCACAAACACGGCACATCTCACAGGAAGATCATATAAGAAGGCAAAACAATCATTATCATCTGAAAACTGTAAGAATGCTTTCAGAATGAAAAGCTGGGGAGTGCAATAACCAAATTAAAACTGCAATTCATTTCAAGCCAGTGACTTATACAGGTCTTGAATTTATAGTTCCAAAATATAGGCTAATGAAACAGCCATATGGTGGTGCATTTTTAGCTCTCACATGTGAAACCGTTGGCTTAAAATAGCTTTTCAAATCGTCTGCGGCAGTGCCGAGCAATCTGTCAAGTGTGGAGAGCATGCCAAACAACAACACATATGACATATGCCCACAATCGATCAAAACTGAATTGTATTCCTCCACCAGGCATATCACACCTAAATCCGGCATTAACGCATCATTCTTATCATCTGATCCAATTTCTACTCTTTCACCTTCATCTTGGTTCCCTTTGTTTTTGCAGCAGCATGAACTCTCTTGTGATGTTACAAATGACACCTTCTTCCCTTGATGTACTGAAAAACTGAAAAGCATGTTTTGCAAGCTGATAAACTCCAAAAACAGTAAAACCCATCGAAGTATTAAGTATACTTGTACCACCTTGCCCATCTTCCAAGATTATTAGTGACGGACCTAGAGCATTTGTCAAGGAGGGGCACTGCAAAATGGATATAAATGGGTCGGGTCGGGTCACGTCGGATGTGATAATTGTCTATTATGTCTAGTGCAGACAATCTTTTTAAAGGTAAATAGTTATTCAATGTCGGTTCCAAGGGATGCATACCTATGATTTATAGGTCTAGCTTCAACTTATTAAGACAATTCTGAACAATAATATTTAGTTTTTTGAAAGAAAAACATAACATGGATTACAACTGAATCATCCTTGCAATGTTTATAATTTTCATATTATAAATAATCAAAATTTAACATTTACAATTAGGATTGTGTCTAACCGTAAGCAATCGTTCCATCATAACTTCGTTGTCGTTTAAATGTCTTATAACAATTTTCATATACTCTTTGAAGGGATTATTACCTCATTTAATAGTTATACATAGTATTTTTTTAATTCGGATAGATGGGGCACTATTTTTATCCTAAGTACTAATACTAAAGTTCGGGGTCGGAAGTGGCCCCAGAACCCCATAGGTCCTCCACTGAAGATTATTAAAGTTGATCAATTGTTATAGGAGAAACATAAAATGAGTCTTTACTCGGCTTCTATATCCTTAACCGCCTCACTGACCACTGTCAATGGTGTGCACTGTGCCTACCGGAAAGACCAGTTCAACTTTCTTGACTCCAACTCTCCAAGCATCTTGTTTTAGATTCATATATTTGTTAGAGCCAATGTATTTATTTAATTTTATTAGTTAGAAATTAAATAAATAACCTTTAAATAACAGGATATTTTGCCTTTGCACCTCATTTTCAAAACTCTTAGACTTTGCACCCCATTTCCTCTAAAATGTCTTTGCCTTTGCACCCCATTGAGGAAATTTTCTTCACAAAATGTTGTAGATAGGGTGCCCGTGCAATGTCTAAAAGTTTTAAAAATAGGGTGCAAAGTCCAATATAAGTCAAAAAGTGGGGTGCAAACTCAAAATTCCCCTTAAATAACTATGCTAATTTAATAGATATAATTTCTCAATACATATAAATTCTACTCCGTAACATATATACTCTTTAAATAACTATGCTAATTTAATACATGTAGTTTCTAAATACGTATAAATTCTAACATATAAACTGCTTATTGGTATGCCAATCAGAGTGAATATCTGGCTCAAAATCATTGCCTACTAAATAGTGAAATTAAGAGGGATTTACATGGGCTAGACTCTAATGCACCTGTACAATTGCTCCCAGCAAAATAGACATGTGGAACCACTGTAATCTATTCTACATCATCATGAATTCATGATATAGTTGATGGGCAAAGCCTTAATGACATTTAAAAAAAATAAAAAATATGAAACTCATCTTAAGGGCCTCTTGGAGTCTCACGATTTACAGATTCTGCTTCTGCTCCCTGAAGTAGCAGAATCAGTTTTAAGAATCATATCCAAACACCCCTTAGAGCATTTGGAGTGGTGAGCATATCCCCTGGAGATGCCAAATAAAGTTTGGATCCAATGTGGATCTCAAGGTTTTTCACAGCCAGTTATTTATGAAAATCGACCTATGTACTGTGTTAAGTGTTTGCATTTAGGTCATTCTGGGGCAGCTTGTCCTAAGCGACCTATGACTGTTGATCCAGAGGTCAAAGAAAAATGGATTGTAAAAAAGCGAAAAAAACATGGCGACAAACAAATCACAGACGGGAAGCAAGGGAACGAGAGTACTATAGATAAAGGAAAAGCCAAAGCAGTTGTTTACTGATGTGGAGGACTCCGATATTGAAGAAGTTTACACCGAGGCTCTGGTTCCAGTTGATGCGGCACTGTTACCAACATACATAAGGATAGTGAGCCCAAAGCTACTGATTCCAATGTCATAATCAATGTTGCACCTACACAAGACGCCAATGCCACTGTTAGCAATGATGAGGAGATAATCAATGCTTATCCCACACTACCAGAAGGTGAGAGAGCAGCAGATGATTATCAAGTCTTAAAAATCACCCAGAGGGAGCAGTATGACCCCACCTTATCGGCTAAAGGGTATTCTTCTGATGGTGATTTTTGTTTTCTCGATAGCCTTAGCAAGTGGAAAGAAGGACAATCTGAATTAACCAGGAAGGTTTGTATTTTGTTAAACAAGAAACCTGCAGCAAACATCTCTGATGAGACTATTCTGGCAGTATTAAATAAACAACCTGAGATAGATAGGCAAGATATTGATGATGGTTTTATAAAGGTGGCCAGGAAAAAGAAAAGGCGGCCTATTCAGGTTGCCCCTAAAAGCCCCAGACTTACCAGACATGCAGCTAAAAAGCTGTCACTAGCTTTCTTTTCCCATCAACCATGAATTGCCTTGTTTGGAATGTACGTGGCCTTGTTTCTTCCTGTCCAAGGTTACGGGATCTTATTAGACAGTGGAGAATTCATTTGCTTACAGTTATTGAACCTATTGTTGATTTTTCAAAAATTTCTTCTTTCTCTTTAGAGCTGGGACTTGATAAATTTTTCAGTTGCCCTGATAGTAAGATATGGTTGTTTTTGGATTCGGCTTTGGTGGATATTTCTGATTTTACTTGGGGTCAGCAATACATTCATATGAAGATCACCACATCTACATCTACTTTCTGGTTTACTTCTATTTACGGTGCACACAACTATATTCATAGAAGGGGATTATGGTCGTTTTTGACTAGCTAGGCGGCTTTTAATTCAGAACCGTGGATGGTAGGTGGCGATTTCAATGCCATTATTAATCATTCAGAGCATAAAGGTTCATCTATCCCTTCCTAATAAGTATGACAGAGTTTAAAGACTGTATTGCTAATTGTGACTTGATTGAATTACCTTTTTAAGGATTGGTTTCTAACTGTGAAGGGAAGAGGGTGTATGTATAGGCTTTTTGGGAGTGCAGTTTGGGTTGGGAGTGCAGTTTGGGTGCCCGATCGAGTATACATAGGGTACCCCATCGGGTATGAGTAAAAACGTTAATTCGAGGCCTACTCGATCGATTTCAGGGTGGAAATTAACTATAGTAGGACTCCTTTTCTTTAATAATTCTTCCTTGAGTATTAATTAATTCCTATTCCTATTTCATATTAATATTTTGAACATTACTTAAAGGATCAACTAGTTTTATTTCATATATTAATTATTACTAGAAACGATCAACGAACCGATGGTTAATCGTTGATAGTTTCACAAGTAAGTAACTTCGGTCTGTTAATGCACGGTCGTGGTTAATAAACTTAAGAGGGATTAATTTTGTTGGTTAAACCAAAACCGTTGTGTTGAGGTTATCAATCTCAATTGATTTCATCAAGGAGTTAAGAGACTAAATGCTACTATCAAGTCGGTATATGGCGTTGTTCTATACTTGACTAATAGTAAGGGTTATTAATGAACGGTCGTTGTTAATAACTAACCTCGATGAATTGGATATACTCTTTGATTGAGTATTCGAGAGGAGATAAGTTATAGATATAACAATGATCGGCTAAAATATATCACCAAGTGGAAAGTAGCAATGCCAAGTCCTTTTTATCTTTGAATTAAATCACATATAACTTGTTCATCTTCGTGTTTAAATTTAATTAAATCACTCAATCCCAAAATCCCCTTTATTTACTAGTTTTACTAAAAAGAGAATTATTCCTTTCCGTGTGGATACGAACTCTACTTCACATATACTACGTATAGGTGTTAGTATTGAATTTATTTTGACGCACCGTGACAAAGTGCACGTCACTTGGGCATAGGAGGTCCATTACAATAATCATGCCTTCTTTGGGCGAAATAGGGCCACTAATGGGCTGAGTACAACACTTAGTAAAATAAAGCAAGAAAGTACATTCTGCCAGGAGACGTCCTGGCCGGTGCGGTGCTTTTGGCTGATGCGGCCTCATGGCCGATGCGGTCCATGGCCGACGAGGCCCATCTGTCCTCCAGGCGGTGTTCTGGGCTGATCCAGTTTTGGCCGTTGCGGGACCCATTGGGCCGAAGGGGGCCACGTGGATGTTCTTCTGGCATCGTTTACTTTATGAGTATGTGGGCCATGGGGTCCAGGCCCATATACTCTATCATGTTTATGTCCTTTATAGTCATGGTTGAACGACAATTTTTTAAAAATATCTCTATTGTGAGGAGTGATAATGGCATGAAGTTTAATTGTGTAAAGGATTTTTTTCGGGCTAGTGGAATCATATTTCAGACATCTTGTGTGGGAACACCACAACAGAATGGTTGGGTTGAACGCAAACATCAACACATTCTTAATGTGGCTCGTGCTTTACGCTTTCAAGCTAGCCTTCCGATTTCTTTTGGGGGAGAATGTGTATTAATGGCTACACATCTCATTAATCATACCCCATGCTCTGTGCTTGAGTTTAGAACTCCTTATGAAATTCTCTTTGATGTACCACCCTATTTAAATCCATACGGGTGTTTGGTTGCTTGTGTTATGCTTACAACCTTAAATCAAAGGGGGATAAATTTGCGAATAGAAGTCGACATTGTGTTTTTGTCGTATATATTTTTGGAAAAAAGGGGTGGAATATGTATGACTTGGAATCTCATGAATATTTTGTGTCTCGCGATGTGAAATTCGTTGAAGACCAATTCCCCTTTGCTAATATTCCATTGGATACACCCATCACGACGGATGCAGCTGAAATTTTGGACTATGATTATGTCTCTGCCGCAGTTCTTGCTCCACCACTGCCTGTGAGTGAGCTTCATGAAGAAGATTATATGATGGCCCCACTTGGTTATAAAAGCACGAATTCTAACTTGGTTTGTAGGTTGCACAAATCCTTGTATGGCTTGAAATAGGCGCCACGCTCCTGGTTTGCCAAACTGGTTACTGCTCTTAAAGGATATGGATTTATCCAGTCTTTTTCTGACTATTCTCTATTCACTCACACTCGCGGCAGTGTTCAATTGAACGTGCTTGTCTATGTGGATGATCTGATTATCTCTGGGAATGATTCGGGTGCAATTGTTTCTTTTAAATGTTACTTGAGTGAATGTTTTTACATGAAAGATTTGGGGAAATTAAAATATTTCTTAGGGATTGAGGTTGCATGAAGCTCCTCTGGTCTCTTTCTTACTCAACGGAAGTATGCTTTAGATATTATTACTGAAACTGGATTGCTTGGGGCCAAACCTGCAATATCTCCCATTGAGCAAAATCATGACCCTGCTCATGCTTCCGGTCCTCTTCTTTCGGATCCTGAGC